GGACGAGCCGCCTCACTCTGCCAGCGACTTCAGACCTTCAGCAAGGCAACTATGGAGATCACCAATTGGCGCTGTAGAGCTAGGCATTATCGGTTGCAAGAATCTTTTACCAATGAAGGCAATCGATGGAAAAGGCTCAACGGATTCGTACGCCGTAGCCAAATACGGACCAAAATGGGCGCGGACCCGAACCATACCCGATAGCTTCGACCCAACCTGGAACGAGCAGTACACGTGGCCGGTCTACGACCCATGCACGGTCCTAACCATAGGTGTATTTGACGAATCGGAGGGGTCAAAAGAGTCCTCCACATCCCATCCCATGGGTAAGATTCGGATCCGGATCTCAACTCTGGAAACCAATCGGAGCTACCGCTGTTCATACCCGCTAGTCCTCCTCCTCCCCTCAGGAGCAAAGAAAATGGGCGAGATCGAAATAGCCGTCCGCTTCTCACGTGCCGTTTCCTCTCTCGACCTTTTACACGTCTACGGCCAACCAATGCTCCCGCCGATGCACCACGTCCGACCAATCACCGCAGCACAGCCTTCATTAAAACGAGAGGTCGTAATGTGGATGCTTGACGCAGCAGATCCCCGCGGGTTCAGTATGCGAAAAGCTCGCGCCAACTACCAAAGGATCCTGAACTCGCTAGCCTGGGTCGCTGACATGGCGAGATGGACGGCGGACATGAGAACTTGGCGGAACCCGACAGCAACAATGATCGCACACGTGGTGATGATACTTCTAGTCTGCTTTCCTGAGCTGATCGTTCCGACATTGGCATTGCACGTGTTTGGAATGGGGTTGTGGAGGTACCGGTGTCGGATTCGGGTACCGGCAGCAGATCCAAGTGTTCGGATGTCAGGTGCAGAGGCGGTGGACAGGGATGAGTTGGATGAGGAGTTCGATCCAATACCGAGCGTGAGAGGGGCGGAGGTCGTGAGGGTGAGGTATGATCGGGCGCGGACGATGGGGGCAAGAGCGCAGGCGTTGCTCGGTGATGTAGCAGCACAGACGGAGAGAGTGCAGGCGTTGGTAACCTGGAGGGATCCGAGGGCGACGGGGATGTTTGTGGGGTTATGTTTGATGATGGCAGTTGTTCTGTATATTGTGCCAAGCAAGATTGTGGCGATTGTTGCAGGGTTGTATTGGTTGAGGCACCCGGTGTTTAGAGATAGGATGCCGGCACCGGCATTGAACTTTTTCCGAAGGCTTCCTGCGCTCTCTGATCGGGTTATTTAGATCAATCCTGTAAAATGTTAGCCTACGGCGCGGAGGAAAGAAACCGTTTATGTAATAGTAGAAGCCTGTGCTGTAATGGACTTGGTATATTTCTCTGAAGCTTAGCTCCATGGTTTATGAATGCTCCCAATAATTCCAAAAGTAAGCATCTAATGAGTAGGAGGAGCCCCATGGTTTATGAACGTTCTCAGTAATTTCAACAGTAAACATCTAATGAGTAGAAGGATTAGATACGAAAAATACTTTGACGTTCTCATGCCTATCTGGTTCTTTGTTTTAAGAATAAATGGAACAAGCGCACAGGGCTTTAGAATGCACAAGTAAATGGAACAGAGGACACATTTGGGCCTTAGAAATAGTGACATGCTCGTATTTAGCTGATTCCATTGAAATGCCAGGACAAATGTATTATAGCCCACAAAATTTACGAAATTAATGATGATCTTCATGACCGATAGTTCAATCTTAATATCCTATTGTACAAGTAAATTATCCGTAAATGCTTATTAGAATCACTCAAAACTATGAATAAATAATATTACACAACCCTACATCAGCAAGGAGAAGCTACAAATGTATTTATGTAACTTCCAGATTGAAAAGGAAAAAAACAAATTTTAATAAGATTTTGCAAAAATTGCAACTTCGTCAGCTGGGTTACCAGTCATGAAACAAGTCTTCCACCCTTGAGGCTGGTCGAATGGGAAGCAACGTATTGTAGCCCCTGACTCCTCTTTCACCTTCAACTCCTTGGCATCACTGATGCACTAATAATCAAGCATCAGAAACGAAGGCATTAGCATTATGACATCAATTTCTGGCAATCTGATTCGGGAAAATAAAAAGTCATAAAAAAATTGTGAGGATAAAGCCCTTACCTTGCTGACCATGGACCTCTAGCCCATTTTCCTTGAGAAATTGCTCTTTTCAACTCCTCATAGGAGCTAGCATCCACAATGTTACTGCAGCAGAAAACCATTAACTTTCAACAGAGAAATTGCAGAGAAAAAGTACAAAAAATAAAAGCATGAAACAGAACAGCCTTCATTCAAGAGGTCAAAGACTCAAAGTTCCTTCGCAAAAACAAAATAAAGACAAAGTGAAGAATCCAATATTCAGCTCCCACAAATAACTGTCTACGGGCTGTCATATAAATTTAAGAAAATAAGGGCATATGTGACCATGAGTGAGGCGTACAAAGAGTATTTTCTTTTTCCTCTTCCACATATACAAGTGATTGGTGAAGGAACACATCCTCTTCAGACTATTTTTTATGCATGCTTAACATTACTCTCATCATGAAACTCCAGGCCGGGAACTACAAGTTAAAAACAATGTTGCTCTCATTCACTCATATAATAAGAAAAATTAAATGTGATTGATGTACTCTAGCAAATATAGACTTAAAAAGGTTTTTTCATCAAAAAGATATTTGAGGCCTACCTGTCACGGAATGATGTAGCCCTCTGCAATAGTGATGCCTGGACATCCTCTAACCTGCTCTTCACATGGGCTTCCAGAGCCGAATGCTCCATGGATACCGCAAAATCTTTTCCAGGCTTTCCAGGGATATCTCGTCTGGACACAACTACACTTCCGGTGGCAACATCACGAGGTCCGATTTCTATCCTTAGTGGGACGCCCTGTAGAAAAACAGAGATAAGCTATTATCTTTATAGAAGGAAAAGAAAATTGTTTCTTAATGGAGTAGGTCTTATCTGTTCTAGGCAATAAACCAAACAGAATGTCAAAAATTTTACATGAATTTGATGTTGTAGCTACTGTTTAATTGTGATGGAAATGGAGTATGCATGGATTCTTGTATAAACCGGCAAATATTGGGTGTAATTCCGTAGCCAATTTGATCACTTAGCTGAAAGGGTGACGGTTTCATTGAAAAAGAACTCAGGAAAAGAAGTGAACCAAAGGGGAAGAGGAATGAAATTGTTTTGTTCGGGAAGGTATTGACTCATTACCCAAATAAAAACAGCAAGAACAAATTTTTAAAGTTATTCTAGAGTAGGGAATATTTCTTTTTCATTACACTCAATTCATCAAATCTCAAACAAAAAGGTAGAAAACATAACTCTTCTTTTACATGGAACAGAATTCCTCTTAACAAACTGGCCCAATAGAAGAAATGTATATTCAGAGATGAAATGGCTGCAATTATGCAAGGCTCCAGGCAAAGTCCAAATAATTGGTTTTTACGATAAAAAAAGGCATGCACTTACTTTCATCTCCCAGAAATTGAATTTCCATCCTGGGGTCCTCTGTTCTGACTCATCAAGTTTGACCTTGATTCCAGCAGTTTTCAGTAATTTCTCAACAGAAATAGCAGCATTAAGGACTCCTGTTCTCTCATCAGCTTTCTTCCAAATGGGAACAATTACCACCTGAATATATTCAATTAGGAGCAAAAGAATTAGCATCCAGTGACCTAATTACCAGCAGAAAATAGACGGAAAATAACAAGACTGCACCCTAGAGTTTGATTAATTTCCTTCAGTCCTGAATCTAAAATGGCGATAGAATAGAATACCAAAAATCATCACTATTTTGACCCATTTTCGAACACGATCAACAGCAGGTATCCATAATAATAAGAAAGGCCAAACGGAAAGCATATAAATGATACAACTTGTTTACCACTATTTGAAAAACTTGATAAGATTGCATAAAATATCTGAAAAGCAGAATTAAGATATAATCACCTAAATATCTAGTCATTGAGTGTGTATCACAATGCTGCCAAAAGAATCATGATTCATACATGTATAATAAGTCCTTAAGGACAGGAAGGATAGAAGAACAAGTACTATTAGAAGATACATGTTTGTGCTGCAGAAGGAACAACAAGTCATCTACCCTGTGTATGAAGGATAGAAGAACAAGTACTATTAGAAGATACATGTTTGTGCTGCAGAAGGAAGAACAAGTCATCTACCCTGTGTATGAAGGATAGAAGAACAAGTACTATTAGAAGATACATGTTTGTACTGCAGAAGGAACAACAAGTCATCTACCCTGTGTATGAAGATAAAATGACGAGAAACAGGAAGAATTGAAGAGGTCTGTCTGTTGTACTAGTTAAAGGAGAAGGTGAGGAAAACCCCATAATGTTTGTGCTTCATATGCAGTGGAGAAGAGCAGGGGTGGATCTACAGTGGGGCAGCACGGTTAATTGACCCCACTAACCCACAGTAAATATATTTAGTATTAAGCTTATATATATCAACTAAGCTTATATATCAACGCATCGACAAAATTGTCTCGCGAATAAACGTTGTTTGTGTTGTTTTAAGCTATTCAATTAATTTCCAGCTAATATTTGACCTCATTACCAACCACCCCCCACCCCCCCCACCCCCCAACCCCAAAAAAACAAAAACAAAAAACAAAAAACCCGACCAATTTGGCCAAAACCCTCTACCCAATCCCCAGATTCCCATCAATTCCCCCAAATTCTGAATATAGTGAACTTTTTCTGCAATAAATATAGAGAAGAATTGAATGCATAACTGCATGGGAGATGACTGGTTGAATAATAGCTTGGTCATTTATATTGAAAAAAATATTGTTGATAGCATAGACAATAAGAAAATCATACACTGTCAAAATATGAAAACAGGGCGTGAACAATTGAAAAGAATTCTAATAAGGTACTTCTTTATTGACTTTTTTTTGTACATACATAAATGCATATTTGCTTTTGATGTTATTAATATTTAGGTAAAAATGTAAAATACTAGTTATGCTTGTAGACTTGTGGCCCCAGTGACCAAAATTTCTGGAACAGAAGAGCATAAATAACACAAGGTTCTAGATGTGAAGAGCAAAGCACGAAGGAGTAAACCTAGGGACAAAACATCCATGCATGGTAAAATTTCATGTGCACAACATTTCCATAAAATATATTACAGAATGATTTAGATCTCAGAAAGTTTATAATCCCCACTGGTTAGCTTAAACAATATTTGCATCAGTATTTACTATATCAAAATCCATTGTTTTTGCAAACAAAATGACATAATATTTAGACCAGAATACACCATTAGATTCACAAAATCCTTGTCCAGTATCAGCTCAGTGCTTAGCTTAAAATAAACAGAACAAAAGCCTTCACACCTGTATCGGTGCTAATCTGGGAGGAAGCATTAGGCCAGTATCATCTCCATGGGTCATAATAATACCACCAACGAAACGAGTGCTGACAGCCCAGGAGGTCTGCCACACATATTGTCTTTGTCCATTTTCATCACTGAACTGTCAGTTATGTCAAGAAAAAAATATATAAACATCATACCCAAGAAAATCATTAAATCTATGCAGAAACTACACATGCTCAGATGCCAACTACAAGACTACTGGCAACTCTTGGAATGGAATGATAATATGAATCCAGCAGTAACAGTAACAATTCAAGTAGGTGAAAGAGAGAAAACCAAGTATATTGATTATATGATGCAAGTGTTGCTACTGTTGTATTGAGAAAAGAACAAAAATAAAGCATATTTTCTTGGTCCATTGCGAAAATGGAGAGCATCAACTGAAAATATCATGCAATGCATTGTCATTATCAGGCACAAGACACTGCAGATACAAGATACTTCGAGATTTTTACACTCTTTGTCCTTCACTCATGCTAACTCTATGATCCACAGCATAAGTTTCCAAAAAACAAGCGCGCAAGCAATATGGTTGGGTAATGTATTAGTGCATTTTCTTTAACGCTAAGACTTACATCAGTGGAAAAACAAAGACCTCAATTTTGTAGAGAAAAAGCATCTAAATTAAGATTTATTGCAAATGATGACTGAAAATGTTCAATAATGAAGCTGACAACATAAGGCCCCAATCTTTACGAGACAAGACACTTTCACGGCATTCCACTGCCACCGGTAAGTGTCCTCAGTTTTGTAACCCAAAAAATAAAAATAAAAAAAGGAACTCAAAGTAAGTTGCATGACAGGATTGCTAAGGTAAACATTGTCAATCATACATTAGTCCGCTACTATACTACATCTATAGATCACTCTGAGTGTAGTCCATATACATCAAGCAATTGCAGGCATCATATTGCATGCTAGTCACCTAAACACTGTTTCTAACTAGCCGATATTATTACGGTGTCAGTGACAGAGGTGGATATTTGATCATAAACAAGACAAATGCCACACTCAGCAGTGCATGAATGGAGATCCCAGGCAATGCAGAAAGAAGAGGAACGTGACAGATAGGTATCATTGGAGAAGACAACAGTTTGCAAGCGTTTGCAATCTGTATAAAAGATATATCTCCAGCCCCAAAAGGTTTTCTTTTCTTTTCCTCGCTTCTTTCCTTTTTGGACAAACCAACACTAAAGAAAGATGATAATTAGAAGCCGGAGAACAAAGTTCTCAGAAGAGATCTTCATCTCCATCATATACTGAACTAGTAAGTCAGATATTCAAAGAAGATATTGCAAGGTATCTCTACCGTCCTCAAATGCTGCCATAGGACTATTTTCATCACAAACAAAATTATGGATGTTGTTTCTTACCAATAATCAAAAACTCTAGGTGCATGAAAAATGCAAGATAGTTTTATGTTCATATGACCTCTTAGACTTTATCTCACTGGCTTTCACAAATTCAAATTTTCTTTCAAGAAATGATGTTTACTTAAGTTCTACAGCCTACTTCCAGTATTGCTCTCAAGGAGGAATGTTATCCCATCACCTCCCGTATAAGGACTTTCTAACCTCAATTTTCCATGTAATAATTAAGATGTGTGTAGTCCACTGTCAAATGGAAAGGACTGAAACAAATTGCCCAAAGATGTCAGTGACATCAATTCAACTCCTATATTCTTGCTGTTATATATGATCCTTAGAAAACTTGCAAGCTCCCACATTCACGTTTCAACTACTTTTATCTCTTCATTGGATTTTAGATAACTTAATAGACTGAACTTGTAAAATCTGCACATAATGGAACTTCGTGCTAGTGAGAAACAACAAAAAGCCTCCCCAGAATCATGCGTTTGAATCACGTTGTGAATAACGCAACATGCTAATGCTACATATTTTTGTTTTCTCAAACTATATGAAGGCATATCTCTTAAAATTGGAAATCTTTTTTTCAATACCCCAAAGCATTGTTCTATAACATTCCTTAATGACGAATGCGAGTAATTGAATAGTTCTCTAGTACCTTGCGGTGGAAGATTCTGCCCTTGATAATCATTCAAATGATAGCGCTCTCCACGATACGGTGAAAGAAAACCCAGCATATTGGTATATCCAGAGTCAACCAAATAATACTTTCTTGCACGGGGCATAGGGAATTTGTTTGTGGGATTGCTAATGCACTCTAAGAAAATTCTTGAATCATTTGCACTTTCTTCCCATCCACTCATAACAAATGTGAGCCGCATATCAAAAGAACAAGCACACATCATATTCATTGTCGGCACAATTATCTTTCCACGATATGGAACTTGACTATCTTGCGGCACACAAGCTGAAACATGAGTTCCATCAATAGACCCTACACAATTCTGTCATGTAATATATATATATATATATATATATATATATATATATATATAGAAGGTGCTCTGGGCCGACATTGACCGGTATGGTTTGTTGTTCTTGTGCAGTCATATCATCTTCTTCAAGCTCCACATCTTCATTTTCAAACTCGACAAATAATGGATCTCCAGAATCATGCATTCGAATCACGTTGTGAATAACGCAACATGCTAATGCTATATATTTTTGTTTTCTCAAACTATATGATGGCATATCTCTTAAAACTGGAAATCTTTTTTTCAATACCCCAAAGCATCGTTCTATAACATTCCTTAATGACGAATGCAAGTAATTGAATAGTTCTCTAGTACCTTGCGGTGGAAGATTTTGCCCTCGATAATCATTCAAATGATATCGTTCTCCACGGTACGGTGAAAGAAAACCCGGCATATTGGTATATCCAGAGTCAACCAAATAATACTTTCTTGCAGGGGGCATAGGGAATTTGTTTGCGGGATTGCTAATGCACTCTAAGAAAATTCTTGAATCATTTGCACTTCCTTCCCATCCACTCATAACAAATGTGAACCGCATATCAAAAGAGCAAGCACACATCATATTCATTGTTGGCACAATTTTCTTTCCACGATATGGAACTTGACTATCTTGCGGCACACAAGCTGAAACATGAGTTCCATCTATAGCACCTACACAATTTTGTCATGTAATATATATATTATATATTAGAACAATAATAAAAAATTCACATAATTAATGTAGGAAGGAATATATGCATACCTTAAAATAAGGATAATACTTTGGTTTATATGATATCTCTGGTGGAGTTGCATCGTATGATGGAGGGACGATCACATATTTGGTTAGAGAGCAAATTGCATAAATAACCTTCTTAAAATATGTAGAGATGGTCTCTAGTGAGTGTTGAAAACGATCCGCGACCAGCCATTGGCGTTCATTATGAGAAAGCACAAATAAAAAGGTTGCTACTTGTTCTTGAACCGTCACGTTTCTAGAATGTTTTAATTTTCCATTTCTCTTTTAACTCTTCACAAAGGTTAATAATAAATGCTTCTTTTTTCATTCGGAAGAGGTCAAAATAAGTACTTGGGTGACCACCTAGAACCTCAATCACCCAATCATGCCCACTTAATTTTGAAATCATTTGTGGTCGAGGCTGCTCCATAAAAAATCCATTAAACTCCATAAATGCATGAATGATCAATAACACTTGAAATTGCTCCTCATCTGAATCAGAGTCTGAATCAGATTGTGATGATAGTTGATAATCATATGTATCTGTATTGCCATCCATACCTATAAAAACATATAAAATTATAATTGAACACTATTGCAAACTTTAAAAAATGTATTTACATAAAAAAATCAAATCAATCGTCAAAATAAATTTCAATCATAGTCCTGCATAATAAAATTTACATAAGGCATGAAACACATGTCAACAACATAAACAAGTATAATACCAACAACGTTATGGAAATAAAATATATAGGTTCACAAACTAACACAAATACATCCAAAAGTCTTCAATCTACTATGACACAAGCATAATTGAAACACACACAAAAGTCCTCGACCTACTAGAATCAAACATATAGAAACACACAAAGGTCCTTGGCCTAATAGAAACAAACACAACATAAACAAATACAAATTTCTTCAAAACAAACACAAACAACATCAAGGTAGATTTAACACACAATCCTTCTTTCTCTCACTAGGCATGGTTAAAAACATGGTTCTCCATTATGCATCATCATGCAAAATATGTGCAGCCTTGAAAAACTGAGATGAGTCAACATCAGGAAGAGCACTAAGTGCAGTGATGCAGTGAACCAAGCCTTGTTCTTCCTCAGAGCTTCTTCCTCTCCCTCCACTAACATGACTATCTGCAGTAGCCGAACTCATTTTCCTCTCCCTCCACTCCATTTTCTTCCTAGAGTTTTCTCCCATCGAGGTTAAAGCTTCAACTATTGCTAATTGGATTTGCTGGTTCAACAGTACACGTTTGTTTGCCACTTTTGTTTTTTTCTTAGCTCGAGATGACTCAACATCTTCCTCATCTTCATCTTCTTCTTCCTTATCATCTTCACTAATGGTAGGACTTTTAGTAGAGAAAGGAGCATGATTACCAGTAGCAGTTGTATCACCAAAAATGATGCACAACTTGTCATAACCTTTGCAACCCTTCCTTCTAAAATATCTTGCATACTTGTGCGTCTACGTAAAACAAAAGGAAATAATGAATTCAAACTCACATAAGGTATCTAATAAAAATTGCATTAATCAATGAGTATTACCGCATACAACTTAGTCCACACATCTTCCATTGCAGATATTTGACCGGTGCTCGCAGTATACTCAACTGTCATATACGTCAATAGGCTTTTCAAATTTCTTCATCTTTGTCTCAATTGGTTGAACTTATTTTTCATTTGGTCATGAGTGTATTCTCTCGCCGTCTTCTTTTTTCAACTCATGCTCCATGAATTTCCAAGAGGATCTAGCAAATATAGTTGTATGCCTATTTCCCTTTTTCACTTCTTCCTCCATCAAGTCTATGAAATAAAGCTTCACATTTTCAGATCAAGTTCTCACTCCTTGTGAAGGGGAAATCACCACCACTTCGTTGACATCATGATTTTCACTTGACATCTATTACATTCACAACAACATGAAACCAAAAAGGCTAATCAAATAAGAGAGTATAATTAGAATCAAATTAGGGTAAGGATGAAATTGACACAAATTAAAGTATGTTTCTTGACTGGACCATCTTCACTTGTTACGGATTATAAGAACATGACATATTAATATGCTATGCTGAAGTGTGATAATTAATAAGAAGTCAACAAGATATGGCAGCTATACTCTTGGACAAATAGCCTCTGTAAAAGTGAAGGATTTAGCTTCCAAAAGACATCACTCTCTCAATCCCCTCAACAATTAGAGCACAAGCCATATAAAATCCACAAAATTTTTAGATGACGAAATCTAGTTCATTTTCACCATACAAATAGAGCACAAGCCATATAAAATCCCCTCGTAATAAAAAATAATAAAACGCAAACATATTCGCTCTAGGATTTTTTTTGTTGCTTAATGCCATCAAAACTTGCATATGTGTGCTATGCATAGCATATGTTAATAACCAATAAATTTTCGTTGTCATGGGTCATTGTATTTATTGTGTTCATGCTTCTTTATAGCAATTTTTTTTAATTTGATTGAATGCATGTATAAATGCTCTGAACCCTCTAATGATATATCTTCTTATTTTGATATTCTTTTATGAGTAACAATACTTAGAGAAATTATACACTATAGAGTATAGAGCACCTTATGATATATATTATTTCACTTTTCCTTCAGAACCACTAGTGCAAAATTGGAGATCATATTAAGCTTTATCTCAGCAAAGTAATTAACAATACATTAAAAAAAGAATGATCATTCCAATATAGATCATATTAGCTTTATCTCAAACAAAACATAGATTCTGTAAGCAGCCCACAAATTTAAAACAAGACTAGTAAGGACTCAATCGAGGATATTACATGCCAAAGAAAAATTGTGCAAGACAAAGGCTTGTTACAGATTCAAAAAATTTGTGTTGGTTTCAAACAAGCAGCTTTATGAAATCTCAATATCATCTCACGAGAATATACATTGATCGAAATTGGAGGTGGTAGCGGAAGCGACCGGAGGCAGCGACGAGGAGGCGCAGCCGCAACGAGGAGGCGACAGCGGCGATGAGGAGGCAGCAGCGGCGACGTGGAGGCGGCGGCGACGACGTGGAGGTGGCAGGGGCGACTACTCGGAGGCGCTGGCGACGCCGGAGACGATTGCCGCGACAAGTCGGAGGCGGCAACGGCTGAATCGCGAAGCCAGCGACTCGGATAGGCGGCGACGGCTGTTAGGGTTGAGAGGGAGAAAAGGGGATCGGGTTGGTTTGAGGGAAAAATAAGTCATGGGGATCTCAAAACATCTTTTTGGTGTTTTGAGAAAAGCGTTTATCTTTTGGGCTTTGTAAAGGGTCAGTCCAAAAAACCACCACGTTTACCAAACGTGTTTCATTATTTTTTTGAAAAAAAAAAACGGAAACGGAAAAAACACCACAATTGCCAAATGCTCCCTAACTTACTTTGATTATAAGTTGCAGTATGAAACATGAATATTTGACATTGAATTGCTAACTTAAACTACTAACTGGGAGAATATTAAAATTCTGGGAAATCATTATTACAAAAACAAATCATTTGTTATGCCAGGCCATAGCATTGATTGAGAGCCTAAACCCTGAGACAGAAAATGGAGTTCAATATATTAAAAATGGGACTCGTTTGGACACTAACCTGTGTTCCAAAAGCACGAGAAAAGTATTGGCCAAGATTGTAGCTGGTTCCAGCTTGTAACGCCTTCCTGTCACCCATCATAGCTTCAATTGTATATGTACAAGCAGCGCCAGCAAACGTTTCAGCCTTTGATTTCCTACCTGCAATTACAGGTATTGCAGCTTGCTCATAAGCAAATTTTGTGTAGACATCAATCATTTGTAGCGCCTGAAACTCAGAAAGATATAAAGCTAAATCAATAAGCACCAAACATTCAATACAAGAAGGCTAACACTACAACACAGACCTCTTTTTCTGCCTCTTCAGGTGTTGCATGAGCTGTATGGCCCTCCTGCCAAAGAAACTCAAGAGTCCTTATAAATGGCTTTGTCCTCATTTCCCATCTCATCACATTTGCCCACTAAAAAATATTACACAATGGTATGATGAGACCCACAAAAGAAAACAATGTTAACACGAGAGAAGGAAGTTCACGATAAGACTCCAGACACCAGAATAGATTTGCACCTGATTAATCATGAGAGGAAGTTCACGATAGCTCTGAATCCATTGTGTAAACATGTGATTCACAATGGTTTCACTTGTTGGTCGTACCTGCCAGAACCTCAAAAATGGAAGCGAACCATTAAGAATCATGGCACCGAAGCTGCAGTCTTTACTTGAGTACGTTAGTTCTCATTTACCCTGGGAATTGAATATGCACTTTAAATAGAAAAAAATAGTGTTGAAATATAATTTTAAAAAGCATACCACAAGTTTTTCCTCGAGTTCCTTTCCTCCTCCAATGGTAACTAGTGCCAGCTCTGGACTAAAACCTTCGACATGACTGGCTTCCTTCTCAATAAATGAGTAAGGTATGAACTGCACCAAAGAAAATGCAAAAAGAAAAGCTTAATTAGCGTCATGAACTGTACCAATGAGAGAGCATGTGCAACAATGATGATGGTGATAAAAAAGACTATGATCTATTTCCTTCATTTATTAATGTTTAGTTAAATAGCGCTAAAAGAAAAATATGATGTCTCTCGGCCTTCTATAACCCACAATTTTTTGGGTCATTGTGATGTAGCAGGGACATGTCTCACTCGTGATCAACCACATCTATTGGACCATGGCATGTGTGTGGCCTTCCCGTGTCTATTTCAAAGTTTTTAGTGCATTGAGCAAACGTGTCTCTTTGAAAGTTTTTAGAGCATTGAGCAATCGACACAATAACCTGTTGACTAGGCACTTTATATCTATGTATTGAACATGAACAATTTCAAAGAGGGTAGCAGGTTTTATTTGTAGGAGAACAAATAAGACACCACTATATAGTTACCCTAGGGGCCTGTTTGGATTTGTAGGGGGTGAAGGGAAGTTAAGGGAAACTGAGAGAAGGGAAGGGAAGGGAGTTCCCTTCCCCTTGGTTACACCCCAATTTGGGGGGTAACAAATTTTATACTATTAGGGGGTGAACCAAGGGGAACTAGGGTGAATTAACTTCACCTCCTAAGTGTTCCCAAACAAGGTGAATGGAGGTGAATGGTTCCCCTAACTTCCCTTCACCCTCATTCCCCTCAATCCAAACAAGCCCTAGGTGAACAAACATCTCCAATATTCTAACTGCTCTAATAGCTGTATTTGCGATCCAGGTTGTCTAGCTTTTGCTTTCACGTGTTGGGAAACCCCTCATTTACGTGTGACAATGCAGCAGTAACCATTAATAGAATCCTATGGGCTTGAGCATTACATCGTTGAAAATGTTCTGTCATAGACTCATACTCAACATCCTCCTCTTGAGTATATCATTATCTGACCACCCTTGTGTTACCTTAAAATACCCTGAGTCATCTTCTCCGGGTCAAACTTACTCACAAATTCTGATCTCTGTCTTAAAATAAGAGCACACAACAAATCCTTAAAAAAAAATCAGCATAAAGAAGAAGTTACACACCTGAGGAAAGTACATATTACTGTGCCCTGTTTCCTTAAACTTCACATTCAAATATTCCTGCAATAAAAACCCAAATGTAAATTGAAATGGGAAAAATTACTTTTCCAATAATTATAACATTTTTTTCAATTATATATGTCCCATCCCAACCCAAATGCCCTTCTCATGCTTGGAACAATTAGAAGAATAATTCGCCATAAATCTTAATAACACGGTATCAATTTCCAACTAAAAGAACCGCCGCCGGCAGTTGTCGGAGATCGAGGGAGATAACTCGTGAAATGAGGGGCGGAGGTTGTAGGATGAAGGGGGTTTTAGGGTTTTGGAGGGGTAGAAGAGGAGAGCGGGCGATGGGAGACGAAGGGTTCCCATTCGGGATTTTGAGATGAGGTGTGGAAATAATCTGGGAGTTCTGCGGGGGTTTTTTATTGAACAAGATAGCTTTATTTTGACGCCGAGGTTATTTTGGTAGCTTTATTTTGACGCTAGGTTAATTTTTTTAGCTTTTTTAGGGCCTGTTTGGTTATTTCCTAAAAAAACCAAGAAATAAAAATGAAAACAAAGAAAACTTAAAAAGTACAATTTCATCTATGGGCCTGTTTGTTTTACTAAAAAAAGAGGGAAATCAAAGAAATGAAAAACTATTAAAATGAAGAATTGGTTTGGGAGTGTTTGGTTGGCTAAAAAAAGAAGGAAATCAAAAAAATGGAGATGAAATGATGTTAGTTGTCATATTATTATTGGATGATGTGAGTGATTTTTTAAGAAAACTAGTTTTGATGTTGTTTGGTTGGCGAAAAAAATAAGGAAATGAATTATAAGAAACCTATTTCCTGTAGTTTGTTGTTTTCTTTTGGTTTGGTTCATTCTTAAAAATAAGAAATGAAATGAGATGAGATGAGTTGTCATTGTATTATTGGGTGATGTGATCCAAGATTAAGAAAAGTGTTTTCACAACTTTTTGGGATGAAAACAAAGAAATGGAATGTTAATGAGATGAGGTGAATTGTTATAATATTTTATTGGATGATGTGAGTGATTTGAAATGATGAAAAGAGATGAGTTGAGTGATGTTTGGATGAAAATAATATTTTATTAGATGTGATGGATGAGTTGTTAGATAAAAATAATATTTTATTAGATGTGATGGATGAGTGGTTAGATGAAAATAATATTTTATTAGATGATGTGGATGAGTTGTTGGATGAAAATAATATTTTATTAGATGTTGTGGGTGAGTTTTAGGGATGGAAATGGAGGAAATAGTACTTTTTGAGATTTTCACCATTTCCATTTCCATTTCTTGGTTTTTCTTGGTTTTTAGGAAATAACCAAACAGGCCCTATTTCTATCCATAAAACTCACCCACAATATCTAATAAAATATTATTTTTATTCAACAACTCATCCACCACATCTAATAAAATATTATTTTCATCCAATAACTCATCCACCACATCGACCACATCTAATAAAATATTATTTTCATCTACAACATCATTCAACGCATCTCATCTCATCATTTCAAATCACTCACATCATCCAATAAGATGGTGACAACTCATCTCATCTCATTAACATTTCATTTCCACCTATTTCCTCCCAAAAAGCTAGAAAAATAATTTCCTTAAGTGTGAGTCACATCATCCAATAATATACTGACAACTCATCTCATCTCATCTATTTTCTTATTTTTAAGTATGAACCAAACAAAAGAAAACAACCTATTTCCAACCTATTACAAGAAATAGGTTTCTTATTATTTTCCTTATTTTTTCCGCCAACCAAACAACATCAAAACAAGTTTTCTTAAAAAATCACTCACATCATCTTATAATAAGGTGACAATTCATCTCATCACATCTCCATTTTTTTGATTTCCTTCTTTTTTTAGCAAACCAAACACTCCCAAAACAATTCTTCTTAGAAATAGCTTTCCATTTCTTTGATTTCCCACTTTTTTAGACAAACAAACACTCCCACTTTTCTTAGAGAAGGGAGCATATTGATCCGTGCTGTCTGTCGTGGCATTAGTGTAAAAACAAGTTTAAAAAATATGAATAAATATGTGGTTTTAAAATATATTGGATATTCTAAATATTTAGAATAAAATTAACAATGATATAACAAAAGTATGATAACTTGTCAAAGTTTATAAAGTGGTTTTAAAATTAATCCACTGGAGTATTTTTGGTCCAAGATGAATTTTGAAAGTGTATGCATTTAACAATAAATGATGGTAAAATGTTGAGTTTGTAAACAAAAGGTCATTTTTCTGAAATGGGTGGATTTAATGATAAATGGAAGTAAATATTTGTGTTTATAAGCTCATATATGATGTCACGATATTAGTGTAGAGATGCCAAAAAATTAATGGTTTAAGTATTTCACCACATTGTATACTCCCATAGCAACTTACATCATATACAAAATTGTACAAATCTAAAGTGGGATTCCAAATAATTTTAAAGTATTTTGGTTCTAATAGTGATTTTAAAAGTGTGAAATCTCAAAAAATATAAACAACAGTATAAACAATTTGGTGTTAAAACTGTACTGTATATTAACCAATAAGGACAAATAATATCGCAACTTATACTATTTACTAACTTGTTAAATTAGATAACGGATTTAGAATTAACACGGTGAAGCATTTTTTTTATTGACTATAATTTAAAAGTGGATGGGTTTATAAGTAAATGGAGGATATGACTTTGTGTCGATGACATAAACCCTTTTGGTAAGTGAGTCATCTTAAACATATTAAAAATAAATTAAGATAAAAGTTCAAGTGTGTAGGCAAGAAACACATCTACTACTTGCGATACCACAACATTAGGGGAAAAAACAAAGGTTTGAACATTTGGTTTAAAAATACATTGTGTCCATACAGCAAGTGATAATAAAATATAGCAACTTAAAGACAAAAAATAATGGTTTAAACACATACTTTGAAAATACACCACCAATATTAAAATATAATAAAAACAATATTAAAATATAATAATTTACACTGTACATCAAACTGCTAAAAATACAAATGAGTTTAAAATTAATTCAATAGAGTATTACTGGTTCATAGAAGAAAATACCTTAGCGAAATTAGTGGTTTTAGAAAATAAGTGGGCTAAGATTTTGGATTATAGGCAAAAAAAACCCATCTACAATTCACATTGTCGTGATATTGATGTGAGAAAAAATGAAAATAACATCGCTTTGTATTTTGAATAGAGTGCTGCTACGGGGACCCAAAATATGGGACCAATGGAGGGGACATGTGAGGTGTCCCCTCCCTATTGCATAATGAGTTGGCATGGCCAACTCATTATGCAATAGGGAGGGGACACCTCACATGTCCCCTCCCTTGGTCCCATATTTTGGGTCCTTAAGTCATTTTTCTTTTGAATAAATGACGGTAAAACTTTGGATTTACAGAAGAAAAATCATAGTAATAGTTTAGAAGTGGGTGTGTTTGAAAACAAATAAGATAGAACTTTGGGTTTCTAGCAATAAAAATAAATAACTCTAAGACTTTGGTTCGCGGAAACAAAAACTCATCTACAATGCACATTGATGCAGTTCTCTCAATATTATTTTGGGTGTAAGAGTGATTTCGGAAGCATGAGGCTTTAAAAATAAATGTGAGTGAAACTATAAATTTATAAGTGATGATTTGTAGTAAAAGTTTCGAAGTGGGTGGGTTTGAAAACAAGTGGGGTTGAACGTTGGGTTTATAGGCAATAATCACAACTTTGAGTGCAGGTGGCCTAAAAAATAAATGATGGGAAACTATGAGCTTGGCGCTGTTGGCGGTAATAAAAAAAAAGTCTTATGATTAATGGGGTGGTATGAATAGTGCATAGCTACAATACTAACCCCAATCATTTTAGTATATAGAT